TCCTTTTCTTGTTAAAAATTATACAAGGAGAATGACTTTTCAAGTAGTTGATCGATTACGCAGCGACACTCATCCATGTTTAATTGCACGCACACTACAGCCGGTAACCAAAACGGCTACGAACGAGTGAGAAGAGAGTAACCAAATCAAAAAATGGTAACAAGACCACATAATAGTCGCAGCGCCCCACGCACTCGGGCGACCGTGATCAGACACGAGCCAGCACCGAAGGTCCCCGACGGACTACCAAGTGTATCCATAACAAAAAATGAAAATGCAAACAACCAATTCAGTTTCATCGTGTTCGCAAAACCTAGACACTATAGGGCGTGTTATTTTCGTGGAGCTCATTTGCTATTTACTGAATTACTATTATAAATCGCTGTTGGTAAACAAATAATTGAAATTATTCCACATTACTTAGTCATAAAATATTTATTTTTAAGATTTTTAACTGTTACCAATGGTAACAATAGTTACATGGACGCTTCGCCACTGCCGTGGATACATGTTACTCTTCCAATGCTTGTACTAACTCAGTTAACCTAATTGGGCATATTTTAGTTCGCCTCACCAAAAACTGAAACCTCGATATCTCTTTGCTCTATTTTACAATACACATAATCTAGTTGACAGTTTTTGTCTTCTGCGCCTCATTTTCTTTCAACTAAGTCGACTAATTTACTTCTTTACATAAAATACGTTAGCAATAATAGCGCACTAAGTGAAATAGAAATTAAAACAAGATTGTCCTTTGAGATTATTTTATATTAGATTTAATTAAAAATATATATACACTTATATACAACCCTCTACAGTTACAATAAATATTCATCCCAATCATTATATTTTAACTACGTTACATTTTCATGTATAATTTTCAGTGAGTTTGCCCGCAAGAGCAAACTTCAGTGCTTTGTTTAGCGCTAGAAATTTAATTTTCTTGGCACTCATTCCCGGTGTACGGTATGTAACTTGTTCCTTTGTGCTTCGTCGCATGACCCTTTGAATATTGTCTTTCAGTGCATCCGGCGGGCGAACTCCTGTCAGATTCTCAAAATGTATATTGCCGAGCTCTTCTGCTATAGCTCGTGTGACAATCCTGGCCGCTACTGAGTTTACTTTTGAATTAATTTCTGCTAACTCCTTCTTACGTAACTCCATGTACTTAATGTACCCAGGAACAACGATGATTTGACTCGGTTCAGCAGTTTCTCCGATAGGTAGAACAATTTTGCGATAGCTAGACATCTTGAGTTCGGCTGTTGCTGTTTCAATGAGTGAGGGATGAAACTGCCCCCATATTTATATCAAATCTGTCGCTTAGGGGCGTGTTGTGATTGGACCACGTAAGAAGTATTTCTGACCTGTAGGATTATCCCTTTCTGTTTACCGGCCATTCCGTATAACATCAAATATGGACTAAAATCGCTATTTTTGCGCGTTTAAATTAGGATTAGATCAGATATCTCGGGAACAGTTAGATATTTCATCAACTCAGACTTTTGTTTTCCGAGGAGCCCATGTATTTTTTTGACAAGACAAGACAGAATTGCCATCTTCTGAAATACAAAAGCCAGACTCGAAGATCTATTTTACCGTTTACTGCTACTATCATCTCACAGAAAATTATTATTTTCGGAAAAAGAAGTCGTGGATTTATGGCAAGCACTAAGTCAGTATACCATTTTAGGTGGTTGCACAAGACACAAAGTCAGACTCGACGCTGTATTTTGCCGGACATATTTCGTCCTCAAATCCGCTGCATGCCTGCTATAAGATACATGTATACAATTTTTAGTTAAAAAATTGTCAAGTGAACACAATTCAAATTATGAAAAAACGTCTACTCTGCAAGAAACTGGAAAATCATTTATCACATTTATTGTGACGTAGTCAAACATTTATCAGAGGAATGCAAAACATGAAAAAATAGAAAAAAACAGTCATTCACTATTTCATGTTTTTCTAGTTTCCGATAATTTTTGGACGTGAAAAAAGGCTTTTTTTGAATGAGTCAATGTTTTTGAAAATCCTCAAGCTTTGTTTTTCACCGTTTTATAAGTATTAAAATGCTTTAGGGAAGGGAGGTGGGGCATTTAAAAGATGAATTACGGCAGGCTTTTTTCTTGGACTACATAATACAGGTGTATCAATAACGATGGTGAAGAAAGATTTTGTATTTATTATCAATCATTTAAAAAAAAAGAATTTTTATTGTGGTGCCGCTTCAGAAGCTTTTGTGAAATTCAATGTGGATTTAGGAAATATAAAAAGAATGCGTATGAATGTGCGGAAAGTATTGCATCAATTTAATCAACGATCAATTTTTCAGCTAATGCAGTGGATACATCTTACTTTTTCTTGTAGACCACTTTTCCAATGCTTGCACTAACTCAGTTAACCTCATTTAACTTTTAGTTAAAAACTAAAACCTCAAGAACTCTTCACTCTATTTTACAACACACATAATCTAGTTGGCCAGTTTTTAGAAACAAAAGCTTCTGCACTTGACCCCATTTTCTTGTGGTCATCAATTAAGTCGACTCACTAATTTACTTCTTTACGTAAAATACGTTAAGAATAATAGCGCAGTAAGTGAAATAGAAATTAAAACAAGAATGTTCTTTGATATGATTTTATATTGGATTTAATTAAAAATACTTATACATATACACGTATACTACATCCCTGTACAAACAGTTTTTATACAGTTACAATAAATATAATAATGATTACATTTAACTACGTTATAGTTTCTTGTATAATTTTCATTGAGTTTGCTCGCAAGAGCACCTTCAGTGCTTTGTTTAGCGCTATAAATTTAATTTTCTTGACACTCATTCCCGTTGCTCGGTATAAAAGCTGTTCCTTTATACTTCGTCTCATAATCCTTCGAATATTTTCTTTCAGCGCATCTGGCGGATGAACACCGGTCAAATTTTCGAAATCTATATTGCCGAGTACTTCTACTATAGTCCGTCCGATAATATTAGCCGCTACTGCGTTTACTTTCGTATTAGTATCCCCTAACTCCTTCCAACAAGACTCCATGTACTTAATATATCCAGGAACAAGTATAATTTGACTTTGTTCTTGGTAATCTGCAGTTTCTCCGATAGGTAAGACAATTTTGAAATAGCTAGACATCTTGAGTTCACAATTCGACTGTTGTTGTGTGAATGAGTGAGGGATGAAATTACCCCCATATTTATATCATATCTGTCGCTTAGGGACGTGCTGTGATTGGACCACGTAAGAGATATTTCTGACCTATAAGATTATCCCTTTCGGTTTACCTGCCATACTACTTAACCTCCAGTATGGACATTCATTTTAAAAAAATAGAATTTTTAGTGTGGTGCCTCACAAGCTTTCAAGAAATTCAATGTGGATTTAGGTAATATGAAAAGAATGGGAATGAATGTGCGGAAAGTATTGCATAAATTTAATCAACGATCAATTTTTCAGCTAATGCAGTGGATCAGTGGCGACGCGTGACTTTTCCTAAACTGTTACCAAAACCAGATGTAAAATATCTTATTAAAAAAAGTTTATTTTGAACCTCCCAAATATAAGTTTTTGCTTATTTGAACTATTTTTAAATTAAGGTAAACATTCCTGGACTGAGCGTGTGGGGCACTTGATATACCTCATCGTCTTATGCTATGACTAATACAAGCCGTCCGAAAAAACAGTCGAAGTTTCTAGATGTATTCTAGAAATTTTGGATCCTTTTTTGGCCATGAGTGTTAAAAATTCCCTGTAATTTCCTCTATTGTCAGAGTCATCCCCTTCAAAATGATCGGTAGTTCCTCTTTTGCCAAAAAACCTATGGTATCTAGAACTGTGCTGCCTAAAAGCTTGGTTAAGACAACTTTCGATTCTTGTTTTGCCAAACTGAATTAATTTGGGTAGACATCTCACATGTAACGGAGAAATTTCATGTCTCCTGTTTAGAGCCCTAAAACTATTTAAATCGTTGACTCCGCTGCTGGTCCACCCATTTTTTTTCTGTATAAAACAGAATACATCGCCAACAATACAATCTATTTTTTTGCAACCACATAACCAAGAGTTTCCATATACCAACTTAATTTAAAATTCCAAACTACGTTTTTTTATTCCTTTTTAAAATCATCTAAAATAGGTGTTGGTCTTCCATCTTCAATGATCTCCTTTTCTTCTTAAAAATTATACAAGGAGAATGACTTTTCAAGTAGTTGCGACACTCATCCATGTTTAATTGCACGCACACTACAGCCGGTAACCAAAACGGCTAAGAACGAGTGAGAAGAGAGTAACCAAATCAAAAAATGGTAACAAGACCACATAATAGTCGCAGAGCCCCACGCACTCGGGCGACCGTGATCAGACACGAGCCGGCACCGAAGGTCCCCGACGGACTACCAACTGTATCCATAACAAAAAATGAACATGCTAACAACCGACAACCAATTCAGCTTCATCATGTTCGCAAAACCTAGACACTATAGGGCGCATTATTTTCGTGGGATAATTTGCTATTTACTGAATTACTATTATACGAGTATATCGCTGTTGGTAAACAAATAATTGAAATTATTCCACAGTACTTAGTCATAAAATATTTATTTTTAAGATTTTTAACTGTTACCAATGGTAACAATAGTTACATGGATCCTTCGCCACTGCAGTGGATACATATTACTTTTCCAATGCTTGTACTAACTCGCCTCACCAAAAACTGAAACCTTGATATCTCTTTAATCTGTTTTACAATAAACATAATCTAGTTTGCAGTTTTTGTCTTCTGCACCTCATTTTCTTTCAACTAAGTCTACTAATTTATTTCTTTACATAAAATACGTTAGCAATAATAGCGCACTAAGTGAAATAGAAATTAAACAAGATTGTTCTTTGAGATTATTTTATATTAGATTTAATTAAAAATATATATACAACTTATATACAACCCTGTACAGTTACAATAAATATTCATCCCAATCATTATATTTTAACTACGTTACATTTTCATGTATAATTTTCAGTGAGTTTGCCCGCAAGAGCACCTTCAGTGCTTTGTTTAGCGCTACAAATTTAATTTTCTTGGCACTCATTCCCGGTGTACGGTATGTAACTTGTTCCTTTGTGCTTCGTCGCATGACCCTTTGAATATTGTCTTTCAGTGCATCCGGCGGGCGAACTCCTGTCAGATTCTCAAAATGTATATTGCCGAGCTCTTCTGCTATAGCTCGTGTGACAATCCTGGCCGCTACTGAGTTTACTTTTGAATTAATTTCTGCTAACTCCTTCTTACGTAACTCCATGTACTTAATGTACCCAGGAACAAGGATGATTTGATTCGGTTCTTGGCAACCAGCAGTTTCTCTGATAGGTAGAACAATTTTGCGATAGCTAGACATCTTGAGTTTACAGTTCGGCTGTTGCTGTTTCAATGAGTGAGGGATGAAATTACACTCATATTTATACCAAATCTGTAGCTTAGGGGCGTGTTGTGATTGGACCACGTAAGAAGTATTTCTGACCTGTAGGATTATCCCTTTCTGTTTACCTGCCATACTGCATAACCCCAAATATGGACAAAAATTGCTATTTTTGCGCGTTTAAATTAGGATTAGATCAGATATCTCGGGAACAGTTAGATATCTTTGAAATGTTAGCCAATATTGATAGATTTGGACCAGGGATTCGGATTCAGAACATCAAAAACCTTGTCGCTCTGTGAAATAATTCAAAATTACAATGTTTCACAATTTCATCAACTCAGAGGTATTTCTGACCTATAAGATTATCCCTTTCGGTTTACCTGCCATACTACATATATATATATATATATAGTAATAGTAATACATATTTATTTACTCTAAAATACAGGGAAGATGAAACGAGTAAATGAATATAATTTATCCACAGGACAATGCCTGTGGATGGATCATTTGTTTATTGGAATGCAATAAATAAAAAAAGAAAATATATAGAGAAAAAAAAACATATATAATTATTTGTAAGAATGATATTACTGTGTAATATTTGACATGCTTTTCGGTAAAAAGTCGTGGATTTATGGGGAGCACTAAGTCAGTATACCATTTCAGGGGGATACACGAAATCCAGACACGATGCTGTATTTTGGTCCTCAAATCCGAAGAGCTACTACTATAGGATACATATTTATGTTTTCAAGTTAAAAAATAAGTTGTCAAGTAAGTGAAGAAAATTAACAATTTGAATGATTCAAAAATGTCTACTCTGCAAGAAATCGGAAAATCATTCATAACATTTATTGTAACGTAGTTAAAGATGTGTCAGAGGAATGTAGAACATGCATTTTTTCGGTAGTAGCTATAAAAAAAATCGTTCCCTATTTTATCCTCAAGCTTTATTTTTCTTCGTTTTATAAGTATTAAAATGCTTTAGGGAAGTGGGGTGGGGTATAACGATACTGAACCAATAATTATGTTTTAATTATTAATCATTTTCAGAAAATTGAATTTTTATTGTGATGTCGCTCCAGAAGCTTCCAAGAAATTCAATGTGGATTTAGGAAATATGAAAAGAATGTTTATGAATGTATTAAATCAATTTGATCAATGTGACTATTTTTTTAGTTCGCCTCACCAAAAATTGAAACCTCAATAACTCTTCACTATGCTTTACAATAGTCATAACCTGGTTGGTCAGTTTTAGTTTATAGAAAAGAATATGTCGAAATGATTTGTAATTACTCTGAAATATTCCCAACAATCGTGCTTCTGTATACTCTTAAATTATACACATTTCTACATTGTTATAATAATTACACGAATGTTTTCACATTATAATTTGAAACAATTTTTAGGTTGAAAAATAAATATTAATTTTAAAAAGTTCCATTGTTTGCTGTCGTATTATATTACCCGCATATAAGTACAATTGTAGTTTGGATGTCAATAATGTTATTACTTTTTATCTAAATACGCATTCAAGGTTCGACTATTCTTCATTTCCACTCAAAATTATACGCAAAATGTACTCCATATGGAATGACCTAATAAAGTTTTTAGATACCATTTTTCCCAAATTCTCCATAACAACTTTAGAGATTACATTCAACTTTAGTTCTTGAAATTAAGGTACTTCGAAAAGCGGATCAACAAAGCAACTTTTAACCAGAGTGTCTAGAACAAGTTGTCAGCCTCTCGCGTGCTTACAAATTCGATCCTGACCATTAAGATATCAAAAACGGTACAAGAAGTCGCAAAGATCTGTATTAAGGTAACTAACAAAATGCGGCTTAGAAAGGTCCGAAATTCAAAGTGCTTCCGGACAGAGACAGCAAAAACGGAATTCTTCCAAAATCGTTTTTTCTTTACTGTTGTATATAGGGATTTTTAAATAAATTGCACATCAACATTGCCACTTTTTCTCCTCTACAAGATAACATAATTAGAATTTCCATATGACGTTTCATCTCTTGTCGGCCAGCATCAACTTTATGTTTTCTGATGAACGCCATTTTGAATGTTTACCCAAAGGAATAGAGTTTTTCATTCTGATTCCAAAAATATATATTACGTCATAATTGGCAATGCCAAGCCTTAGTTATTCCAGAAAAACAGAAGCTCCTAGGTAGGCCTTGAACAGTCGCGCTCTGACTACCGTTAAGTTTAAGCCGCAACAAGTGCTCGCTACTGAATTGTATCATGTCTGTAGTAAATACTGGTAAGCGGTCGCTAACCGCTAATGAAAAAAATGGACGCTATACTGAGGGTGCATAGTGGAGAAACAAAAGCGTCCGTCGCTAGGGATATCGGTGTTCCAGAATCCACCCTTCGGGGATGGTGTAAGAACGAGCGCAAGATATCCTACCTCTGCCGAAACATGAACGGATCGCTTAGTGCTCCCACCATTGCTCAAGATGAACCGTTAGACCTATGCTTCAAAGCTAACGGACGTCACGCTGCAAATAATGGAGCTGATTTGAACTTTAAATCTGCAGAATCTATAAATCAGTTCTCGTTTGGATTTCGTAGCAAACGGACGTGCTGATAAGCGAATCGACGAGTACGAGTACGAGTACAAATAATATAATCATAATAATAAAAAAGTGTTCCATAACAAAAGCTGTAAAAACGTGAAACAAAATAAGTGTCGTTAGTTAGCAGTGCAAGAGCTGGTGGCACCGGTTATGCAGGTGGTCTAAAACATTTCATCAACAATGTCTCATAGCCAGGATGTGTCAGTAATAGAGCATAATCAAATACTAAGAATGTCATCAACAAGTGAAGAAGAATTAGAGGACTCACAACAAAATAGAAATAACCCGTGGCAAGTGATGAGAAGCGTTAAAAGGAGGAAAGTTGCCAAAGAGCAGAACAAAGAAACAACGGAAACTGTAACTGTAAACAACAGATTTGATATCCTAGCAGACAAAACAGATGATAATGTCGGAAATAACACTCAACGAATTCCAAAGCCACCCCCAATCTTTGTTCATGGAGTGATCAACTACGAGGAAATGGTCAACACCATTAGAGACATATTAGAAGACGAGCAATATATCACGAAGAGCCTCGCAAACAACGTTGTGAAAATAAACTGCGCAACCCCAGAATCATACCGTAAGCTCATCAGAAACTTCAAAGAAAATAGTATCTTTCACCATACCTACCAACTGAAAGAAGAGCGATCATACAGGGTAGTGATAAGGTATCTACATCACTCTACAAAAATCGATGATATAAAAGAGGAGCTGGGAAAACTGGGTCACAAAGTTCGCAGCATAATAAATGTTCTTCATAGGACTACCAAAGAACCACTAAACTTATTCTTTGTAGATCTTGAGCCAGCCGAAAATAATAAAGATATATATAACATCAGAGGATTACAGAATAAAACTATTCAAATAGAGCCACCCAGACCTAGAAAGAACAATATCATCCAGTGTATGAGGTGCCAACAATTTGGACATACTAAAACATACTGCAACAAACCATACTTATGTGTGAAATGTGGTGGTCCCCATAATACTAAGGACTGCAAGAAGCCGAAAGATGCGCCAGCAAAATGTGCCCTTTGTGGTGGCAGTCATACTGCAAACTATAGAGGCTGCGAACACTACCACAGAACATTGAAAAATAAAAATCCCACCTTCCAAACACCCCTACCACCTATAACTAGTGAACCAGCTTATGTTAACAATGTTGAGCCCGCCACTAACCGCCAATACTCAAGAACGTATGCAGATGCAGTAGCCAACAACACTGAAAACTCGGTAAGTCTAACTTCTACAATGAATAAATTCCTAGATGAATTTAAAAATATGTTCAACCAGCTCCTACAACAAAACAGTCTGATCCTCAATATGATTGCCACGCTAATCAACAAAATCAATTAAAATGGCCAATTTTCTAAGAATTGCCCAGTGGAATGCCAATGGTCTTCCTAGTCATAAAGAAGAAGTTAAATTGTTTTTACAGCAAAACTATATAGACGTCCTACTAATCAGTGAAACACATTTCACTGAAAGAAGCTATTTTTCTATACCCGATTATATACTTTACAATACAAATCATCCCGATGGTACAGCACATGGAGGAGCTGCAGTACTTATTAAAAAAACAATCAAACACCACGAAATGCCTAAGTATGAAGAAAACCATATCCAGGCAGCATCTGTAAAAGTAAACAGTCTTCCTTACGATATAACAGTATCAGCTGTCTACTGTCCACCACGTCATAACCTCAAAAATGAGCAATTCAAAAATTTCTTTATAACTCTTGGTCCAAAATTCATTGTTGGGGGGGACTACAATAGCAAGCATACCACATGGGGCTCACGGCTCACAACAACAAAAGGAAGAGAACTGATACAAGTCATATTAGAAAACAACTACACGTTTATTTCACCAGAAGCACCTACTTATTGGCCTACAGATGTAAATAGACTTCCCGATCTTTTAGACTTCTTCATAACCAGTGGCATATCTTCATCTTATACAGAAATATCTTCAAGCTTTGACCTCACATCAGACCACAGCCCAATTACCCTAACTCTGAGCACAGCAGTGATATGTAGGAAACCCACTCCAAGATTGCATAATAACAAAACAAATTGGGATAGATACAAACAGATAATTGTAGATAACATCAATCTCTCAACCAGATTGAAGCAGCCAAATGACATAGAGGTCGACTGCAATAGCTTTATTTGTACACTCCAACAGGCAGCGAAAGAATCCACACCATTCATAGACTGTGCTTACAAAACAAAAAATATCCCCGTTGAAATAAAGAAGCTAGTTGCAGAGAAGAGAAGAGCACGATCAATCTGGCAACGTACCCGCACGCCAGCCAGCCGAACAAAGTACAACACCTGCTGTAATAAGCTAAAGTCTAAACTCCAAGAAATGAGGAATGCCTC